GCGTGAACCAGCAAAGGGACCTAAGGCATGGGCTGCTCTCAAGGGTTTACACGCTCCTGCAACAGCGGTGGTGGCTGTGGTGTTGGAGCGGCAAATGGCGGCACTTCGAATTGACGAAGGCGAACCGGTGGAGGAAGGAGTGCAGAAATTCTTCGACTTGTTGACACGGCTCGAAGGAGCTGACCTGAACTATACTGACCTTCAAAAGAAGACCAAGCTTCTGGCCTTACTTCCGGACTCATGGTCCTCGCTCATCATCAACCTTAATCGAGATCTGCCCCGTCTCTCACTCGAAGATGTGAAGCGGGAAATCTTACAAGAAGATTTCCGCCGTCGCGAATTGGCGGGTTCCGATGGTGCTGGAGCTGCAAGCATGGGCCGTGGGCACGGCCGTGGAAGGGGCAGAGGGCGAGGAGGAAGATTTGGCAGCAGCTACTTCAATGGAGGCCGTGGTAATGGAGGATATGGCAGCAACAACAACAACAATGGCTACGGGCGTGGGCGCGGTCGATTTGATGGCGAATGCCACTTTTGCCACAAGACCGGCCACATGTGGAGAGATTGCTTCAGATTGCCTGATGGATGGACCCCTTCTCAAGGCCAAGAGGGCAGAGGAGCAAGGGGAGGAAGAGGCAGAGGTCGTGGAGGCCGTGGTGGTTGTGGAAGCGAAGCGGCAAGCATGAAAGGTGGAGACTACGACAAGGACTCGAGTGAAGATCGATACCCGGGCCAATTCTTCTTTGTCTCCACGCAAGCGGCAGCTGCAGCAGGAGGTGTGGAAGGCATTGAGGAGCCAGCTACTGTGGGAAAGGTCACCCTTCACTCTCTGGACTTTTGGGTGATCGATAGCGGCGCCACCTATAGCATGACACCTCGTGCGGACTTGCTCACCGAACTCGAACCGTCGCCGGTCAAGCATGTTACATCGGCTTTGGGGCAGCGAGCAGAGGTGAAAGGCATGGGCAAGGCCATGTTCATGGGTGCTGATGGGAAGATGGTGGGCCTCAAGAACGTGCTTTTGGTGCCCAACCTAGCAGCCAACCTGATCTCGGTTGCAAAAGGCCGGCATGGACACATCTTCCAAGGGATCCAAAACCTATACCGCGAGGCTTGGTGAGCGGAAGCTTTGGGACCTTCATGAGGACAGGGACATCTACAATGAGATGTGGCAAATCCCAGTGGTCCCCATGCCTAAAGAGAGGCAAGTGGCAGCAAGCGTCAGCACCAAGAGTGAAGCGGTTGGTGGCGGTGATCACGGAAAACAAAGTGACACCAAGAGTGACTCGAAGGAGTGTAATCTTGGAGGGACCAGCAAGGCATGTGAAACCAAGGAGAGTAGTGCAGCAGCCAAAGGTGGTGGAAATGATGAGGAGAAGCAAAAGATAAGCAAAGCAGCAGCGGCGAAGGAGAAAGGAGAGAGCTTGTGGGGCACGATTGCGAGTGCCGCTTTCTCCAACCCGACTTCCGCTACGGGAGAGTGTGATTGGCTGACCTTGCATCAGCGAATGGGGCATGTGGCATTGCCCATTTTGCAGCAGATAGTTAAGCAAGAGATGGTCAGTGGGATACGTGTCAAGGGGGAGCCCAATGAGGTGCTTGGCTGTCCAACATGCATGCAAGCCAAGTTCACCCGCTACCCATTCCATAGCTCGGAGACAACGGCGAAGGCACCACTTGATGAGGTGGTGATGGATGTGGTGGGCCCCTTGAAGCTTGGAGCTGCTGGAGCAGAGTACTTCCTCACCATTGTGGACGTCCTCACTCGCATGACCTGGGTGTCTGTGCTGCCCAAGAAGAGTGACGTAGCTGAGACGGTGAAGACCGATTGGTTGCCGATGGTGGTACGGCAACAAGACCGGCTTGTGAAGGCGATTCGCACTGACCGTGGGGGAGAGTTCCTGAGCAAGGACTTCTCCACTTGGCTGAAGAAGCAGGGCATAAGGCACTCTCTTACCATGCCCTACTCTCCTGCAATGAACAACATCGCCGAGCATGCGAATCGGACACTCACGGAGACGGCTCGGGGACTTCTCATTGAAGCCGGTCTTCCCAATTACTTTTGGCCGGATGCGGTGCGGCATGCTTGTGTGGCCAAGAACAGAGCCTTGACGCATGTGGGAGAAGACAAATGGGTGCCCTATGTGGAGTGGATTGGAAGGAAGCCGAAGGTGGATATGCTTCGGGTGTTCGGGTGCATGTGCATGGCACTTGTGCCTAAGAAACTTCGCCACAACAAGCTTGATGCCAAGGCAACATGGGCCGTGCACCTGGGCATGGCTCAAAACAGCAAGGGATGGCTTCTTTGGGACCCATTTACCAAGAAGTTCCTGGTGAGCAGAGATTGCAAGTTCATGGAGAACTTACCGTACAAGGAGTGGAAGGCGGAGAACCAAGCGAAGATTGGTGTGCGGCTTGGAGAGGTGAAGAGTACCGGCTTGGAGAGGTGAAGAGTACCGGCTTGGAGCATGTGGAGATGCCCCTGGAGCTGAGTAGCAGCAGCACAATCACTTCCGCCTCGTGCTACAAGTGCTCGTGCGAACCGACCAGATTTGCAGCAACGCCATGAGAGCATCCAAGTCCCTGCAGTAGAGGAAGAGGGAAGGGGGAGAAGGAAGACTCAGCCCCCCAATAGGTTGAGCTATGAACGGCTTGGAGGACCAGCCAACTCAACCTTGACCGGTTCGGCTCTCATGCTAGGCGATGATGCGGAAGATGAAAGCGAGGAGTGCGCTTTTGCCTTCTTCTCTCCGGTAGAGATACCGGGAGAGCCTACAAATCCCAAGGAGGCTTGGGAGGGCCCCAATGGGAAGGAGTGGAAGAAGGCCTCAGATGAAGAAATGGGGAGCATCATCGAGAACGACACGTTTGACTTGGTGAACCTACCTCCGGGGCGTAAGGCGATTTCTTCCAAGTGGCTCTTCAAGCGCAAGACCAACGCCGACGGCAACATTGAGCGCTACAAGAGAAGACTTGTAGCCAAGGGGTATCAGCAGCAAGAGAAGGAGGACTACAATGAAGTGTATGCCCCTGTGGTGAAGGGTACAACCCTTCGAACCCTCTTCGCCGCGGCGGCCATCAAAGGATGGATGGTGAAGCAAATGGATTTAGAAATGGCCTTCCTCAACGGTGTTTTGGAGGAAGAGACCTATATGGAGCAGCCAGAGGGGTACAATGATGGGAGTGGCAGAGTGTGGAAGCTGAAGAAAGCACTCTATGGCCTCAAGCAAGCCCCTAGGCAATGGTACATCAAGCTGCGGGAAGTCTTGGAGGCGATCGGCTTCACTCCCTCAACGGCCGATCAATCCTTGTTCATGCTTGGCGAGGGGGAGCAGAGGAGCTTCATGGTGGTTTATGTGGATGACATCCTCATATTCTCACCCTCCTCTGACCTTGTGAAGGAGGTGATGCTGAAGCTTCAAGACAAGTTCAAGTGCAAGACCCTTGGTGACATCAACTACTACCTTGGGCTTCACATTGAGCGAGATGTGGAGAAGCGGTGGATGCGAGTGCATCAAAAGAAGTACTTGGAGGCCTTGGCTGCAAACTTTGGGAAGAGTGAAGGTCATGTGGCTACTCCTCTTCCCTCAGGGTTCAAGTGTGTGAAAGAACCAGCGGAGGAAAGTGTTGGTGAACAGGAGAGGCGGCGTTTTTTCTCCTTGGTGGGCAGCCTCATGTATGCGGCCGTTCACACAAGGCCGGATGCAGCCTTTGCTACCGGGCAGCTGGCTAGGGTTGTCCAATGCCCCAATGAAGAGCAAGTTGCGGCTGGAGAGAGGGTGGCCAAGTACCTTGTCCAAACAGCAGCTGTTGGACTGCAATACTCCGCGGCGGCACAAAGGCGTCAAAAGGGTGCGGATGGAGTCGAACCCGGGAGGCTCTTTCTCACCGCCTTCTATGATGCATCTTGGGCATCAGAACCAGAGGATATGACAAGTGTGGGAGACTTCATCTGCTGTGTTGGTGGAGGCCCAACAGCTTGGGAGAGCAAGAAGCAAGTGGACCAAGCATTGAGCTCGGTGGAGTCCGAGTACATGGCACTCTTCCGTGCCATAAGGGAGGTTGTGTGGCAGCGGCGTTTGCTAGCTGAATTGGGGGAGGAGCAGCAAGGACCTACCCCACTCTATTGTGATATCGGCATCAATATTAGAAGCTGTTTGACGGAATTCTGACAGTGCAAAATTTCTCTCATTTTAGGCACATCTGAGCCTATTGTGCTTATAACAGTTTCTCACCTCCCGCTCTTTTGCCTCTCAGCTCCCACTCTCTTGCCTCTCATCTCCCGCTCTCTTGCCTCTCAGCTACCACTCTCTTGCTAATCATTTCCCGCCCCCTTGCCCCTCAGCTCCAGCTCTCGTACCTCTCGTCTCCTGCTCTCGTGCCTCTCATCCCCCACTCTTGTGCCTCTTATCTCCCGCTCTCCTACCTCTCACCTCCCCCTTTTCTTGACTCTCAGCTCCCGCTCTCCTGCCTCTCAGCTTCCGCTCTCTTGCCTCACAGCTCCTGCTCTCTTGCCTCTCAGCTCCTGCTCTCTTGCCTCTCAGCTCCCGCTCTCTTGCCTCTCAGCTCCCACTCTCTTGCCTCTACGCTCCCGCCCTCTTGCCTCTCAGGTCCCGCTCTCTTGCCTCTCAGCTCCCGCTCTCCTGCCTCTTCGCTCCCGCTCGCTTGCCTTTCCGCTCCCGCTCTCTTGCCTCTCAGCTCCTGCTCTCTTGCCTCTCAGCTCCTGCTCCCTTGCCTCTCAGATACCGCTCTCTTGCCTCTCAGTTCCTGTTATAATCACAATAGGCTCAGATGTGCCTAAAATGAGAGAAAATGTGCACAGTCAGAATTCCGTCAGCCAGCTTCAAATATTGATGCCGATCTGATGTGTGCGTCAAACGGTGATCTGTAAATTGGATCTGGAGCGCGTTGTTGTCGCCTATCAGCAGCAAGTTGAATCATAAAATTCCATCGAGATTTGACGACGCTATGGCGGTTTGACTGGCAGGAGGTACAGCAGCCACTATAGTCTTAGGAGTACAAAAAACTTAGGAAGAAGAATTCGAGAGGGAGATGGTTCCCAGCCTCTACATACCCCAAGAGCCGAGGTCCAGGTTGGTGGTACACCACCACAGAGTCCCCAACCACGAAGAGTTTCAAAACAAACCCTCCAAGGGGCTACACCAAGTGAAATGTAACACTACACGAAGTAGCGTTACTATTTTCACTATTTAATATTTATTCGCGTCCCTTGGGCTTGAAATCTTGAGCTCTTGGTCTTGGTTCTTCAAGATAAATTCTTCTTGAGTTGATGGGGGCTTGCTGCACACACCTGCGACGCGATGGACACTTCACACTTGACAAAATAGAAAAACACATGCGACACGCAAACGACGACTTGACATGCGAGTTGTAAAAACTCACTAATGTCTTGACCGACACAGACCACATTGTGAGACTCCATTCAAACACACACACAAGCACTAGATAGCAATGACATAGACTCACAAGTCATTCCATGCCATGCATGCACACACACAAACACGGACGACAAGCCGAGTGCAAGCCACACCAACAAACTCCCCCTCGGATTGTTGGCCTTAGAATCTGCTCCCCTTAGTTCAGAGCCATCCCAGCAAGCTTGCAACACTTCCAATGCTGCTGCTCAACCAGCCTCTTGGTCATCATATCAGCAGGCTGCGCCGTCGTCTTCACGTAGTGCAACTCCACTTCACCCGCGGTTACCATGCTCCTCACCCAATGCCACTTCACCTTCATGTGCTTGGTAAGGCCATGAAGAACGGGGTTCTTAGCCAATGCAATAGCACCCTGGCTATCACAGTAGAGGGGGGTAGGTCCTTGCTGCTCCTCCCCCAATTCAGCTAGCAAACGCCGCTGCCACACAACCTCTCTTATGGCACGGAAGAGTGCCATGTACTCGGACTCCACCGAGCTCAATGCTTGGTCCACTTGTTTCTTGCTCTCCCAAGCTGTTGGTCCTCCACCAACACAGCAGATGAAGCCTCCCACACTTGTCATGTCCTCTAGTTCTGATGCCCAAGATGCATCAGAGAAGGCGGTGAGAAAGAGCCTCCCGGGTTCGACTCCATCCGCACCCTTTTGACGCCTTTGTGCCGCCGCGGAGTATTGCAGTCCAACAGTTGCTGTTTGGCCAAGGTACTTGGCCACCCTCTCTCCAGCTGCTACCTGCTCTTCATTAGGGCATTGGACAACCCTAGCTAGCTGTCCGGTAGCAAAGGCTGCATCCGGCCTTGTGTGAACGGCCGCATACATGAGGCTGCCCACCAAGGAATGAAAACGGCGCCTCTCCTCTTCACCAACACTTTCCTCTGCTGGTCCTTTTACACACTTGAACCCTGAGGGTAGAGGAGTAGCCACATGACCTTCACTCTTCCCAAAGTTTGCAGCCAAGGCCTCCAAGTACTTCTTTTGATGCACTCGCATCCACCGCTTCTCCACATCTCGCTCAATGTGAAGCCCAAGGTAGTAGTTGACGTCACCAAGGGTCTTGCACTTGAACTTGTCTTGAAGCTTCAGCATCACCTCTCCAAGCCGCACACCAATCTTCGCTTGGTTCTCCGCCTTCCACTCCTTGTACGGTAAGTTCTCCATGAACTTGCAATCTCTGCTCACCAGGAACTTCTTGGTAAATGGGTCCCAAAGATGCCATCCCTTGCTGTTTTGAGCCATGCCCAAGTGCACGGCCCATGTTGCCTTGGCATCAAGCTTGTTGTGGCGAAGTTTCTTAGGCATAAGTGCCATGCACATGCACCCGAACACCCGAAGCATATCCACCTTCGGCTTCCTTCCAATCCACTCCACATAGGGCACCCATTTGTCTTCTCCCACGTGAGTCAAGGCTCTGTTCTTGGCCACACAAGCATGCCGCACCGCATCCGGCCAAAAGTAATTGGGAAGACCGGCTTCAATGAGAAGTCCCCGAGCCGTCTCCGTGAGTGTCCGATTCGCACGCTTGGCAATGCCGTTCATTGCAGGAGAGTAGGGCATGGTAAGAGAGTGCCTTATGCCCTGCTCCTTTAGCCAAGTTGAGAAGTCCTTGCTCAGGAACTCTCCCCCACGGTCAGTGCGAATTGCCTTCACAAGTCGGTCTTGTTGCCGCTCCACCATGGGCAACCAATCGGTCTTCACCGTTTCAGCCACGTCACTCTTCTTGGGCAGCACATATACCCCAGTCATGCGAGTGAGGACGTCCACAATGGTGAGGAAGTACTCAGCTCCAGCAGCTCCAAGCTTCAAGGGGCCCACCACATCCATCACCACCTCATCAAGTGGTGCCTTCGCCGTTGTCTCCGAGCTATGGAACGGGTAGCGGGTGAACTTGGCTTGCATGCATGTTGGACAGCCAAGCACCTCATTGGGCTCCCCCTTGACACGTATCCCACTGACCATGTCTTGCTTGACTATCTGCTGCAAAATGGGCAATGCCACATGCCCCATTCGCCGATGCAAGGTCAGCCAATCACACTCTCCCGTAGCGGAGGTCGGGTTGGAGAAAGCGGCACTCGCAATTGTGCCCCACAAGCTCTCTCCTTTCTCCTTCGCCGCTGCTGCTTTGCTGATCTTATGATTCTCCTCCTCATTTCCACCACCTTTGGCTGCTGCACCACTCTCCTTGGATTCACATGCTTTGCTGGTCTCTCCAAGATTGCACTCGTTCGAGTCACTCTTGGTGTCACTTTGCTTTCCGTGATCACCGCCACCAACCGCTTCACTCTTGGTGCTGATGCTTGTTGCCACTTGCCTCTCCTTAGGCATGGGGACCACTGGGATTTGCCACATTTCATTGTAGATGTCCCTGTCCTCATGAAGGTCCCAAAGCTTCCGCTCACCAAGCCGCGCGGTATAAGTTTTGGATCCCTTGGAAGATGTGTCCATGCCGGCCTTTTGCAAACGCCGCAGAGAAAACAGGTTGGCTGCAAGGTTGGGCACCCAAAGCACGTTCTTGAGGCCCACCATCTTCCCATCAGCACCCTTGAACATGGCCTTGCCCATGCCTTTCACCTCTGCTCGCTGCCCCAAAGCCGATGTGACATGCTTGACCGGCGACGGTTCGAGTTCGGTGAGCAAGTCCGCACGAGGTGTCATGCTATAGGTGGCGCCGCTATCGATCACCCAAAAGTCCAGAGAGTGAAGGGTGACCTTTCCCACAGTAGCTGGCTCCTCAATGCCTTCCACACCTCCTGCTGCAGCTGCCGCTTGCGTGGAGACAAAGAAGAATTGGCCCGGGTATCGATCTTCACTCGGGCCCGTCTCGTAGTCTCCACCTTTCATGCATGCCGCTTCGCTTCCACGACCACCACGGCCTCCACGACCTCTGCCTCTTCCTCCCCTTGCTCCTCTGCCCTCTTGGCCTTGAGAAGGGGTCCATCCATCAGGCAATCTGTAGCAATCTCTCCACATGTGGCCGGTCTTGTGGCAAAAGTGGCATTCGCCATCAAATCGACCGCGCCCACGCCCGTAGCCATTGTTGTTGTTGTTGCTGCCATATCCTCCATTACCACGGCCTCCATTGAAGTTGCTGCTGCCAAATCTTCCTCCTCGCCCTCTGCCCCTTCCACGGCCGTGCCCACGGCCCATGCTTGCAACTCCGGCACCATCGGTACCCGCCAATTCACGACGACGGAAATCTTCTTGTAAGATTTCCCGCTTCACATCTTCGAGCGAGAGGCGGGGCAGATCTCGATTTAGGTTGATGATGAGCGAGGACCATGAGTCCGGAAGCAAGGCCAGCAGCTTGGTCTTCTTTTGAAGGTCACTGTAGTTCAGGTCAGCTCCTTCAAGCTGTGTCAACAAGTCGAAGAATTTCTGCACTCCGTCCTCCACCGGTTCGCCTTCGTCAATTCGAAGGGCCGCCATTTGCCGCTCCAAAACCACAGCCACCGCCGCTGTTGCAGGAGCGTGTACACCCTTGAGAGCAGCCCATGCCTTTGGTCCCTTTGCTGGTTCACGCTGAAAAGGCTTGATGTGACGGATTTGGCTGCTCCCCAACGCTTGCCCAAGTAGAAGATAGCCTTGTGCGCTCTTCCGCACCCACGGGCTCTTCTCCGGGTCGTTCTCGGGGCGCTTCTCCGTTCCTTCCATCACCTCCAGCAGATCATAGTGGTCAAAGATGTTCTCCATCTTGAAGGACCACTCAGCAAAGTTGTCACCGTTGAACTTGTCAAGGCCAAACACTCTAGGCTCATCCCTAGAGGGGCCAAGGCTAGGTTGCACGGGAGCCATGGGTGGATCTTGGTGTTGACCTTGTGCTTGGGCGTCTTCTCTGCTTCCAGCACCTCTGCCACCCCCTTCCTCAGGTCTAGGCATGGTCGAGACAGCTCCAAGGGGCTCTGATACCATTTGTTATAATCACAATAGGCTCAGATGTGCCTAAAATGAGAGAAAATGTGCACAGTCAGAATTCCGTCAGCCAGCTTCAAATATTGATGCCGATCCGATGTGTGCCTTAAACGGTGATCTGTAAATTGGATCTGGAGCGCGTTGTTGTCGCCTATCAGCAGCAAGTTGAATCATAAAATTCCATCGAGATTTGACGACGCTATGGCGGTTTGACTGGCAGGAGGTACAGCAGCCACTATAGTCTTAGGAGTACAAAAAACTTAGGAAGAAGAATTCGAGAGGGAGATGGTTCCCAGCCTCTACATACCCCAAGAGCCGAGGTCCAGGTTGGTGGTACACCACCACAGAGTCCCCAACCACGAAGAGTCTCAAAACAAACCCTCCAAGGGGCTACACCAAGTGAAATGTAACACTACACGAAGTAGCGTTACTATTTTCACTATTTAATATTTATCCGCGTCCCTTGGGCTTGAAATCTTGAGCTCTTGGTCTTGGTTCTTCAAGATAAATTCTTCTTGAGTTGATGGGGGCTTGCTGCACACACCTGCGACACGATGGACACTTCACACTTGACAAAATAGAAAAACACATGCGGCACGCAAACGACGACTTGACATGCGAGTTGTAAAAACTCACTAATGTCTTGACCGACACACACCACATTGTGAGACACCATTCAAACACACACACAAGCACTAGATAGCAATGACATAAACTCACAAGTCATTCCATGCCATGCATGCACACACACAAACACGGACGACAAGCCGAGTGCAAGCCATAGGGTTGCACCAACAGTTCCCGCCCCCTTGCCCCTCAGCTCCAGCTCTCGTGCCTCTTATCTCCCACTCTCCTGCTCTCGTGCCTCTAACCACCCGCTCTCGTGACTCTTATCTCCCGCTCTCCTGCCTCTCAGCTCCCCCTCTCTTGACTCTCAGCTCCCACTCTCTTGCCTCTCAGCTCCTGCTCTCTTGCCTCTCAGCTCCTGCTCTCTTGCCTCTCAGCTCCTGCTCTCTTGCCTCTGTTGGTGCAACCCTTTGGCTTGCACTCGGCTTGTCGTCCTTGTTTGTTTGTGTGCATGCATGGCATGGAATGACTTGTGAGTCTATGTCATTGCTATCTAGTGCTTGTGTGTGTGTTTGAATGGTGTCTCACAATGTGGTCTGTTTCGGTCAAGACATTAGTGAGTTTTTACAACTCGCATGTCAAGTCGTCGTTTGCGTGTCGCATGTGTTTTTCTATTTTGTCAAGTGTGAAGTGTCCATCGTGTCGCAGGTGTGTGCAGCAAGCCCCCATCAACTCAAGAAGAATTTATCTTGAAGAACCAAGACCAAGAGCTCAAGATTTCAAGCCCAAGGGACGCGGATAAATATTCAATAGTGAAAATAGCAACGCTACTTCGTGTAGTGTTACATTTCACTTGGTGTAGCCCCTTGGAGGGTTTGTTTTGTGACTCTTCGTGGTTGGGGACTCTGTGGTGGTGTACCACCAACCTGGACCTCGGCTCTTGGGGTATGTAGAGGCTGGGAACCATCACCCTCTCGAATTTCTCCTTCCTATGTTTTTTGTACTCCTAAGATAATAGTGGCTGCTGTACCTCCTACCAGTGAAACCGCCGTAGCGTCGTCAAATCTTCATGCAATTTCATGATTCAACTTGCTGCTGATAGGCGACAGCAACGCGCTCCAGATCCAATTTACAGATTATTATTTGGGTGTCCGATCAGATCGCTATCAATATTTGAAGCTGTCTGACGGAATTCTGACTGTGCACATTTTCTCTCATTTTAGGCACATCTGAGCCTATTGTGATTATAACAAGTGGTATCAGAGCCCCTTGGAGCTGTCTCGACCATGCCTAGACCTGAGGAAGGGGGTGGCAGAGGTGCTGGAAGCAGAGAAGACGCCCAAGCACAAGGTCAACACCAAGATCCACCCATGGCTCCCGTGCAACCTAGCCTTGGCCCCTCTAGGGATGAGCCTAGAGTGTTTGGCCTTGACAAGTTCAACGGTGACAACTTTGCTGAGTGGTCCTTCAAGATGGAGAACATTTTTTATGACTATGATCTGCTCGAGGTGATGGAAGGAACGGAGAAGCGCCCCGAGAACGACCCGGAGAAGAGCCCGTGGGTGCGGAAGAGCGCACAAGGCTATCTTCTACTTGGGCAAGCGTTGGGGAGCAGCCAAATCCGTCACATCAAGCCTTTTCAGCGTGAACCAGCAAAGGGACCAAAGGCATGGGCTGCTCTCAAGGGTGTACACGCTCCTGCAACAGCGGCGGTGGCTGTGGTTTTGGAGCGGCAAATGGCGGCCCTTCGAATTGACGAAGGCGAACCGGTGGAGGACGGAGTGCAGAAATTCTTCGACTTGTTGACACGGCTTGAAGGAGCTGACCTGAACTACAGTGACCTTCAAAAGAAGACCAAGCTGCTGGCCTTGCTTCCGGACTCATGGTCCTCGCTCATCATCAACCTAAATCGAGATCTGCCCCGCCTCTCGCTCGAAGATGTGAAGCGGGAAATCTTACAAGAAGATTTCCGTCGTCGTGAATTGGCGGGTACCGATGGTGCCGGAGTTGCAAGCATGGGCCGTGGGCATGGCCGTGGAAGGGGCAGAGGGCGAGGAGGAAGATTTGGCAGCAGCAACTTCAATGGAGGCCGTGGTAATGGAGGATATGGCAGCAACAACAACAACAATGGCTACGGGCGTGGGCGCGGTCGATTTGATGGCGAATGCCACTTTTGCCACAAGACCGGCCACATGTGGAGAGATTGCTTCAGATTGCCTGATGGATGGACCCCTTCTCAAGGCCAAGAGGGCAGAGGAGCAAGGGGAGGAAGAGGCAGAGGTCGTGGAGGCCGTGGTGGTTGTGGAAGCGAAGCGGCAAGCATGAAAGGTGGAGACTACGACAAGGACTCGAGTGAAGATCGATACCCGGGCCAATTCTTCTTTGTCTCCACGCAAGCGGCAGCTGCAGCAGGAGGTGTGGAAGGCATTGAGGAGCCAGCTACTGTGGGAAAGGTCACCCTTCACTCTCTGGACTTTTGGGTGATCGATAGCGGCGCCACCTATAGCATGACACCTCGTGCGGACTTGCTCACCGAACTCGAACCGTCGCCGATCAAGCATGTCACATCGGCTTTGGGGCAGCGAGCAGAGGTGAAAGGCATGGGCAAGGCCATGTTCAAGGGTGCTGATGGGAAGATGGTGGGCCTCAAGAACGTGCTTTGGGTGCCCAACCTTGCAGCCAACCTGATTTCTGTGCGACGTTTGCAAAAGGCCGGCATGGACACATCTTCCAAGGGATCCAAAACTTATACCGCGCGGCTTGGTGAGCGGAAGCTTTGGGACCTTCATGAGGACAGGGACATCTACAATGAAATGTGGCAAATCCCAGTGGTCCCCATGCCTAAGGAGAGGCAAGTGGCAGCAAGCATCAGCACCAAGAGTGAAGCGGTTGGTGGCGGTGATCACGGAAAGCAAAGTGACAGCAAGAGTGACTCGAACGAGTGCAATCTTGGAGAGACCAGCAAGGCGTGTGAATCCAAGGAGAGTGGTGCAGCAGCCAAAGGTGGTGGAAATGAGGAGGAGAATCATAAGATCAGCAAAGCAGCAGCAGCAAAGGAGAAAGGAGAGAGCTTGTGGGGCACAATTGCGAGTGCCGCTTTCTCCAACCCGACTTCCGCTACGGGAGAGTGTGATTGGCTGACCTTGCATCGGCGAATGGGGCATGTGGCATTGCCCATTTGCAGCAGATAGTTAAGCAAGACATGGTCAGTGGGATACGTGTCAAGGGGGATCCCAATGAGGTGCTTGGCTGTCCAACATGCATGCAAGTTCACCCGCTACCCGTTTCATAGCTCGGAGACAACGGCGAACGCACCACTTGATGAGGTGGTGATGAATGTGGTGGGCCCCTTGAAGCTTGGAGCTGCTGGAGCAGAGTACTTTCTCACCATTGTGGACGTCTACACTCGCATGACCTGGGTGTATGTGCTGCCCAAGAAGAGTGGCGTAGCTGAAACGGTGAAGACCGATTGGTTGCCGATGGTGGAGCGGCAACAAGACCGGCTTGTGAAAGCGATTTGCACGGACCGTGGGGGAGAGTTCCTGAGCAAGGACTTCTCCACTTGGCTGAAGAAGCAGGGCATAAGGCACTCCCTCACCATGCCCTACTCTCCTGCAATGAACGGCATTGCCGAGCGTGCGAATCGGACACTCACGGAGACGGCTCGGGGACTTCTCATTGAAGCCGGTCTACCCAATTACTTTTGGCCGGATGCGGTGCGGCATGCTTGTGTGGCCAAGAACAGAGCCTTGACTCATGTGGGAGAAGACAAATGGGTGCCCTATGTGGAGTGGATTGGAAGGAAGCCGAAGGTGGATATGCTTCGGGTGTTCGGGTGCATGTGCATGGCACTTGTGCCTAAGAAACTTCGGCACAACAAGCTTGATGCCAAGGCAACATGGGCCGTGCACCTGGGCATGGCTCAAAACAGCAAGGGATGGCTTCTTTGGGACCCATTTACCAAGAAGTTTCTGGTGAGCAGAGATTGCAAGTTCATGGAGAACTTACCGTACAAGGAGTGGAAGGCGGAGAACCAAGCGAAGATTGGTGTGCGGCTTGGAGAGGTGAAGAGTACCGGCTTGGAGCATGTGGAGCTGCCCTTGGAGCTGAGTAGCAGCAGCACTATCACAAGGCAATCTACTCAAATGAATGGGGGAGAAGAGGAGGAGGAGGTGCAGCAAGGTGATGAGCGTGCACCGTCACTTCCGCCTCGTGCTACAAGTGCTCGCGGGAACCGAGCAGATTTGCAGCAACGCCATGAGAGCATCCAAGTCCCTGCAGTAGAGGAGGAAGGAAGGGGGAGAAGGAAGACTCAGCCCCCCAATAGGTTAAGCTATGAACGGCTTGGAGGAGCAGCCAACTCAACCTTGACCGGTTCGGCTCTCATGCTAGGCGATGAAGCGGAAGATGAAAGCGAGGAGTGCGCTTTTGCCTTCTTCTCTCCGGTGGAGATACCGGGGGAGCCTACAAATCCCAAGGAGGCTTGGGAGGGCCCTAATGGGAAGGAGTGGAAGAAGGCCTCAGATGAAGAGATGGGGAGCATCATCGAGAACGACACGTTTGACTTGGTGAACCTACCTCCGGGGCGTAAGGCAATCTCTTCCAAGTGGCTCTTCAAGCGCAAGACCGACGCCGACGGCAACATTGAGCGCTACAAGAGCAGACTTGTAGCCAACGGGTACCAGCAGCAAGAGAAAAAGGACTACAATGAAGTATATGCTCCTGTGGTGAAGGGTACAACCCTTCGAACTCTCTTCGCCGCGGCGACCATCAAAGGATGGGTGGTGAAGCAAATGGATATCGTAACGGCCTTCCTCAACGGAGTTTTGGAGGAAGAGACCTACATGGAGCAGCCAGAGGGGTACAATGATGGGAGTGGCAGAGTGTGGAAGCTGAAGAAAGCACTCTATGGCCTCAAGCAAGCCCCTAGGCAATGGTACATCAAGCTGCGGGAAGTCTTGGAGGCGATCGGTTTCACTCCCTCAACGGCCGATCAATCGTTGTTCATGCTTGGCGAGGGGGAGCAGAGGAGCTTCATGGTGGTTTATGTGGATGATATCCTCATATTCTCACCCTCCTCTGACCTTGTGAAGGAGGTGATGCTGAAGCTTCAAGACAAGTTCAAGTGCAAGACCCTTGGTGACGTCAACTACTACCTTGGGCTTCACATTGAGCGAGATGTGGAGAAGCGGTGGATGCGAGTGCATCAAAAGAAGTACTTGGAGGCCTTGGCTGCAAACTTTGGGAAGAGTGAAGGTCATGTGGCTACTCCTCTACCCTCAGGGTTCAAGTGTGTGAAAGGACCAGCGGAGGAAAGTGTTGGTGAAGAGGAGAGGCGCCGTTTTCACTCCTTGGTGGGCAGCCTCATGTATGCGGCCGTTCACACAAGGCCGGATGCAGCCTTTGCTACCGGGCAGCTAGCTAGGGTTGTCCAATGTCCTAATGAAGAGCAGGTAGCAGCTGGAGAGAGGGTGGCCAAGTACCTTGGCCAAACAGCAACTGTTGGACTGCAATACTCCGCGGCGGCACAAAGGCGTCAAAAGGGTGCGGATGGAGTCGAACCCGGGAGGCTCTTTCTCACCGCCTTCTCTGATGCATCTTGGGCATCAGAACCAGAGGATATGACAAGTGTGGGAGGCTTCATCTGCTGTGTTGGTGGAGGCCCAACAGCTTGGGAGAGCAAGAAGCAAGTGGACCAAGCATTGAGCTCGGTGGAGTCCGAGTACATGGCACTCGTCCGTGTCATAAGAGAGGTTGTGTGGCAGCGGCGTTTGCTAGCTGAATTGGGGGAGGAGCAGCAAGGACCTACCCCACTCTACTGTGATAGCCGGGGTGCTATTGCATTGGCTAAGAACCCCGTTCTTCATGGCCTTACCAAGCACATGAAGGTGAAGTGGCATTGGGTGAGGAGCATGGTAACCGCGGGTGAAGTGGAGTTGCACTACGTGAAGACGACGGCGCAGCCTGCTGATATGATGACCAAAAGGCTGGTTGAGCAGCAGCATTGGAAGTGTTGCAAGCTTGCTGGGATGGCTCTGAACTAAGGGGAGCAGATTCTAAGGCCAACAATCCGAGGGGGAGTTTGTTGGTGCAACCCTTTGGCTTGCACTCGGCTTGTCGTCCTTGTTTGTTTGTGTGCATGCATGGCATGGAATGACTTGTGAGTCTATGTCATTGCTATCTAGTGCTTGTGTGTGTGTTTGAATGGTGTCTCACAATGTGGTCTGTTTCGGTCAAGACATTAGTGAGTTTTTACAACTCGCATGTCAAGTCGTCGTTTGCGTGTCGCATGTGTTTTTCTATTTTGTCGAGTGTGAAGTGTCCATCGCGTCGCAGGTGTGTGCAGCAAGCCCCCATCAACTCAAGAAGAATTTATCTTGAAGAACCAAGACCAAGAGCTCAAGATTTCAAGCCCAAGGGACGCGGATAAATATTCAATAGTGAAAATAGCAACGCTACTTCGTGTAGTGTTACATTTCACTTGGTGTAGCCCCTTGGAGGGTTTGTTTTGTGACTCTTCGTGGTTGGGGACTCTGTGGTGGTGTACCACCAACCTGGACCTCGGCTCTTGGGGTATGTAGAGGCTGGGAACCATCACCCTCTCGAATTTCTCCTTCCTAAGTTTTTTGTACTCCTAAGACAATAGTGGCTGCTGTACCTCCTGCCAGTCAAACCGCCGTAGCGTCGTCAAATCTTCATGCAATTTCATGATTCAACTTGCTGCTGATAGGCGACAGCAACGCGCTCCAGATCCAATTTACAGATTAGCATTTGCGTGTCCGATCAGATCGCTATCAATATTTGAAGCTGTCTGACGGAATTCTGACAGTGCACATTCTCTCTCATTTTAGGCACATCTGAGCCTATTGTGATTATAACAGCCTCTCAGCTCCCACTCTCTTGCCTCTTAGCTCCCGCTCTCTTGCCTCTCAGGTCCAGCTCTCTTGCCTCTCAATTGCCGCACTCTTGCCTCTCAGCTCCCACTCTCTTGGCTCTCATCTCCCGCTCTCTTGCCTATCAGGTCCCGCTCTCTTGCCTCTCAGCTCCCGTTCTCTTGCCTCTCAGCTGCCGCTCTCTTGCCTCTCAGCTCCCGCTCTCTTGCCTCTCAGCTCCCGTTCTCTTGCCTCTCAGCTCGTGCTCTCTTGCCTCTCAGCTCCCGTTCTCTTGCCTCTCAGCTCCCGCTGTCTTGCCTCTCAGCTCCCGCTCTCTTGCCTCTCATCTCCCGCTCTCTTTCCCCTCACCTACCGCTCTCTTGCCTCTCAGTTCCCGCCCTCTTTCCCCTCAGCTCCTGCTCTCTTGCCTCTCTGCTCCTGCTCTCTTGCCTCTCAGCTCCCGTTCTCTTGCCTCTCAGCTGCCGCTCTCTTGCCTCTCAGCTCCCGCGCTCTTGCCTCTCAGCTCCCGTTCTCTTGCCTCTCAGCTCGTGCTCTCTTGCCTCTCAGCTCCCGTTCTCTTGCCTCTCAGCTCCCGCTGTCTTGCCTCTCAGCTCCCGCTCTCTTGCCTCTCATCTCCCACTCTCTTTCCCCTCAGCTACCGCTCTCTTGCCTCTCAGCTCTTGCTCCCTTGCCTCCCAGCTCCTGGTCTCTTACCTCTCAGCTCCCGCTCTCTTGCCTCTCAGCTCCTGCTCTCTTGCCTCTCTGCTCCTGCTCTTTTGCCTCTCAGCTACCGCTCTCTTGCCTCTCTTCTCCCACTCTCTTTCCTCTCAGCTCCCCCCCTCTTGCCTCTCAGCTCCCGCTCTCTTGCCTCTCAGCTCCCTCTCTCCTGCCTCTTCGCTCCCGCTCGCTTGCCTTTCAGCTCCCGCTGTCTTGCCTACCAGCTCCCGCTCTCTTGCCTCTCAGCTCCCGCTCTCTTGCCTCTCAGCTCCCGCTCTCTTGCCTCTTAGCTCGCGCTCTCTTGACTCTCAGGTCCAGCTCTCTTTCCTCCCAGCTCCCGCACACTTGCCTCTTGGCTCCTGCTCTCTTGCCTCTCATCTCCCGCTCTCTTGCTTCTCAGCTCCCGCTCTCTTGCCTCTCAGCTCCCGCTCACTTGCCTCTCCGCTCCCGCTCTCTTGCCTCTCAGCTCCCGCTCTCTTGCCTCTCAGGTCCCGCTCTCTTGACTCTCAGCTCCCGCTCTCTTGCCTCGCAGCTCCCGCCCTCTTGCCTCTCAGCTCCCGCTCTCTTGACTTGCCTCTCTGCTCCTGCTCTCTTGCCTCTCAGCTCCTGCTCTCTTGCCTCTCAGCTCCCGCTCTCGTGCCTCTCAGCTCCTGCTCTCTTGCCTCTCAGCTCCCGTTCTCTTGCCTCTCAGCTCCTGCTCTCTTACCTCTCATCTCTTGCTCTCTTGCCTCTCAGCTCCCTCTCTCTTGTCTCTCATCTCCCGCTCTCTTGCCTCTCATCTCCCGCTCTCTTGCCTCTCAGGTCCCGCTCTCTTGCCTCTCAGCTTCTGCTCTCTTGCCTCTCAGCTCCTGCTGTCTTGCCTCTCAGCTCCTGCTCTCTTGCCTCTCAGCTGCCGCTCTCTTGCCTCGCAGCTCCCGCTCTCTTGCCTCTCAGGTCCAGCTCTCTTGCCTCTCAGCTCCTGCACACTTGCCTCTCAGCTCCCGCTCTCTTGCCTCTCTTCTCCCGATCTCTTGCCTCTCAGCTCCCGCTCTCTTGCCTCTCAAGTCCTGCTCTCTTGCCTCTCAGCTCCCACTCTCTGGCCTCTCAGCTCCCACCCTCTTGCCTCTAAGCTCCTGCTCTCTTGCCTCTCAGCTCCCGCTCGCTTGCCTCTCAGCTCCAGCTCTCTTGCCTCTCAGATCCCGCTCTCTTAACTCTCTGCTAAGGCTCTCTTGCCTCTCAGCTCAAGCTGTCTTGCCTCTCATCTCCCGCTCTCTTGACTCTCAGCGCCCGCTCTCTTGTCTCTCATCTCCCGCTCTCTTGCCTCTCAGCTCCAGCTCTCTTGCCTCTCAGCTCCCGCTCTCTTGCCTCTCAGCTCCCACTCTCTTGCCTCTCAGCACCCGCCCACTTGCCTCTCAGCTCCCGCTCTCTTGCCTCTCAGCTCCCGCTCTCCTGCCTCTTCGCTCCCGCTCGCTTTCCTTTTATCTCCAGCTCTCTTGACTCTCAGCTCCCTTTCTCTTGCCTTTCAGCTCCCGCTCTCTTGCCTCTCAGATCCTGCTCTCTTGCCTCTCAGCTCCCACTCTCTTGCCTCTTAGCTCCTGCTCTCTTGCCTCTCAGGTCCAGTTCTCTTGCCTCTCAGCTGCCGCACTCTTGCCTCTCAGCTCCCACTCTCTTGCCTCTCATCTCCCGCTCTCTTGCCTATCAGGTCCCGCTCTCTTGCCTCTCAGCTCCCGTTCTCTTGCCTCTCAGCTGCCGCTCTCTTGCCTCTCAGCTCCCGCTCTCTTGCCTCTCAGCTCCCGTTCTCTTGCCTCTCAGCTCCCGCTGTCTTGCCTCTCAGCTCCCGCTCTCTTGCCTCTCATCTCCCACTCTCTTTCCCCTCAGCTACCGCTCTCTTGCCTCTCAGTTCCCGCCCTCTTTCCCCTCAGCTCCTGCTCTCTTGCCTCTCTGCTCCTGCTCTCTTGCCTCTCAACTCCTGCTCTTTTGCCTCTCAGCTACCGCTCTCTTGCCTCTCTTCTCCCACTCTCTTTCCTCTCAGCTCCCCCCCTCTTGCCTCTTAGCTCGCGCTCTCTTGACTCTCAGGTCCAGCTCTCTTTCCTCTCAGCTCCCGCACACTTGCCTCTCGGCTCCCGCTCTCTTGCCTCTCATCTCCCGCTCTCTTGCTTCTCAGCTCCCGCTCTCTTGTCTCTCATCTCCCGCTCTCTTGCCTCTAAGCTCCCGCTCTCTTGCCTCTCAGCTCCAGCTCTCTTGCCTCTCAGCTCCCGCTCTCTTGCCCCTCAGCTCCAGATTTCGTGCCTCTCGTCTCCTGCTCTCATGCCTCTCGTCACCCGCTCTCGTTCCTCTTATCTCCTGCTCTCCTGCCTCTCAGCTCCCCCTCTCTTGACTCTCAGCTCCCACTCTCTTGATTCTCAGCTCCCGCTCTCTTGCCTCTCAGCTCCCACTCTCTTGCCTCTCAGCTCCCGCCTTCCTGCCTCTCAGCACCTGCTCTCTTGCCTCTCAGCTCCCGCTCTCTTGCATCTCAGCTCCCGCTCTCTTGCCTCTCAGCGTCCGCTCTCTTGACTCTATGCTCCCGCTCTCTTGCCTCTCAGCTCCCCTTCTCTTGCCTCTCAGCTCCTGCTCTCTTACCTCTCATCTCTCGCTTTCTTGCCTTTCAGGTCCCTCTCTCTTGTCTCTCATCTCCCGCTCTCTTGCCTCTCAGCTCCCGCTCTCTTGCCTCTCAGGTCCCGCTCTCTTGCCTCTCAGCTTCCGCTCTCTTGCCTCTCAGCTCCTGCTCTCTTGCCTCTCAGCTCCTGCTCTCTTGCCTCTCAGCACCCGCTCTCTTGCCTCTCAGCTCCCACTCTCCTGCCTCTCAGCTCCCGCTCTCTTGCCTCTCAGCTCCCGCTCTCTTGCCTCTCAGCTTCCTCTCTCTTGCCTCTCGGCTCCTGCTCTCTTGGCTATCAGATCCCGCTCTCTTGCCTGTCAGCTCCCGTTCTCTTGCCTCTCAGCTGCCGCTCTCGTGCCTCTCAGCTCCCGCTCTCTTGCCTCTCAGCTCCCGTTCTCTTGCCTCTCAGCTCCTGCTCTCTTGCCTCTCAGCTCCCGTTCTCTTGCCTCTCAGCCCCCCCTCTCTTGCCTCTCAGCTCCCGCTCTCTTGCCTCTCATCTCCCGCTCTCTTGCCTATCAGCTCCCACTCTCTTGCCTCTCAGCTCCCGCTCCATTGCCTCTCGGCTCCCGCCCTCTTGCCTTTTTGCTCTCCCTCTATTGACTCTCAGCTCCCGCTCTCTTGCCTCTCAGCTCCTGCTCTCTTGCCTCTCAGCTCCTGCTCTTTTGCCTCTCAGCTACCGCTCTCTTGCCTCTCTTCTCCCACTCTCTTTCCTCTCAGCTCCCCCCCTCTTGCCTCTCAGCTCCCGCTCTCTTGCCTCTCAGCTCCCTCTCTCCTGCCTCTTCGCTCCCGCTCGCTTGCCTTTCAGCTCCCGCTGTCTTGCCTACCAGCTCCCGCTCTCTTGCCTCTCAGCTCCCGCTCTCTTGCCTCTCAGCTCCCGCTCTCTTGCCTCTTAGCTCGCGCTCTCTTGACTCTCAGGTCCAGCTCTCTTTCCTCTCAGCTCCCGCACACTTGCCTCTCGGCTCCCGCTCTCTTGCCTCTCATCTCCCGCTCTCTTGCTTCTCAGCTCCCGCTCTCTTTCCTCTCAGCTCCCGCTCACTTGCCTCTCCGCTCCCGCTCTCTTGCCTCTCAGCTCCCGCTCTCTTGCCTCTCAGGTCCCGCTCTCTTGACTCTCAGCTCCCGCTCTCTTGCCTCGCAGCTCCCGCCCTCTTGCCTCTCAGCTCCCGCTCTCTTGACTTGCCTCTCTGCTCCTGCTCTCTTGCCTCTCAGCTCCTGCTCTCTTGCCTCTCAGCTCCCGCTCTCGTGCCTCTCAGCTCCTGCTCTCTTGCCTCTCAGCTCCCGTTCTCTTGCCTCTCAGCTCCTGCTCTCTTACCTCTCATCTCTTGCTCTCTTGCCTCTCAGCTCCCTCTCTCTTGTCTCTCATCTCCCGCTCTCTTGCCT